AAATCTTACATATTGTTTTAGCATATCTCTACTGAGCTTTGGCTCACCCTACTTGGGAAACCATTTTCAGGTACAGGTGACATGCCGCCTCCAAGGACATAGCTTGGGAGGTTTAGGGGCTGAAGGCTCCGTTTTGTTATTTTGTTTTGTGTAAATGTTTATTCAAGCCGATGGCTTTAAATGTATAGAGCTAGCTCTCTTTCTTTTGTTGTAACCAAAGGATACCTTGGAAACATGTAAGCCCGTAGGGCATTTATTTTGTTGTAATCGGTTAGCTTTACATGCTGTAGTTTCAGAATAAACCTTTATGAAAGTATGATACATGTAATCTCTTTTGTAATATTGGCTCTGGTGAATGAAAATATAACATTTCTATTAGATTTATAGATCTTATGAATGGTTGATTTATATTGTAGTTTGAGGGCGTTACAATACAGTGTGCCAAACATCAACAATCTAGCACCTAACTGTGTAAATTTAACAACTACCTAGTACCTATCTCATTAGACTCAAAACTTTGATATAGGGGAGTGTTTGTTTGTCCTTTTTATGGATTTGAGTGGCTAGGTGTTGTATTAGTATCTAGTATGCAAAATAAGTGTTTTAAGGCTTTAAGCTCAACGCGAGACAGATTAAAAAAAAAAAAATTTGTTAATGTCGTTTCATTAGCGAACAATAATTTGTTAACGCTTTTTTGTTAGGCAACTTAGTAGTTTACTGAATTCCTTCAATCTTGTATGCATTGGAATGGGAAAAATGTGAAAATCTAACTTGGTATAAACTTATAACACTGAATCTGGATTTGTAAAGCCTATTGTAAGATAAAGACCAAAAATTAATGATGAATTTTGTAGAATACAACCATATATGTTGCAACGTATTTAACAAAATTTTAACTTGCAGATCAATTACCCGTTGTAGCACCAAAGGCTTAATGGATGTAGCACAAAAGGCTTATTTGTATAGATGTTTATTTGTACAGTTAACGTTAAGATATTTTGTAGAATACAATCATATATGTAGCACCAAAGGCTCATTTGTACAGTTAAGTGTTTTCGGATGAATCTTGCTCTTTTATTTGGTAATGCATTCGTCTTAAATTTACACAACAAAAGATAGAAAAGTTCAGGAGTGTGCACCCAATCTTTGATGTCAGAGTTTCACTTGTTTGACATATGACATTGTTTGTTATGCACCTTATAGTATGTAATGACAAATGCAGAGTCTGTAGTTCATTCTTTTTTATGTGATAACAGTGGGCTGCATATGATTTTTCCAGGAGTGTCAAAATCACATCAATGACAAAACTTGCTTATCTCAATGCAATCAATCATAACGACTTATTTATTTATTTTTTTTATATCCTGCAGTCACTACGCAATTGTTCTAGTCAGCAATTTGAAGTTGTCAATTCTGGTGCTCTGTTAGATCCTGCAATAGATGTCAAGTTTTAGGATGGAGAAAACAAAGTATTCAAGTGTATGTTATGGGCCTTGCATTTCTTTCAACAAGTACGAGATGAAGTAGGAAATTTTCTTTGTATTCAATATTGATCTTTCCATTGATGGAGGGTGGGTGGCATGACTGGAAAAGCAGTACGACACATGGATAGATAGGATGTCTCTGAGAAGAATCCAAGTCGTTGACTTCAATGATTTGCCTATGCATAGGTTGTGGCACGTCACTCATAACGTGTATACCACAATTTTCGTTCATGACAACAAATAGATCTACTTTGAGGGAATTTATTTTGGTGCAAGAAAGCTCTAGTTGTTATCAGAAACAAGTTCTCCATGGCAGAAAGGGAAAACCACAGCTCAATCTATTTTTTTTTTTTTTTTTTTTTTTTTTTAATTTTGAAATACAGGAGAGAGTAATGTGTAAGAAGTTAATGTTTGTTTGTGATATTACTAGTGAAGGTGATTCATTTTGTTTATTTTTTAATTTGTAAGAGATGCTTGCCAAGTGTCACGGCCTTGGTTTTTCTAAGCCAACCGTGCGGCCTTAGATGCTTATGCACGCCTTGCTTGCACCTAAGTAACCCTTTCTGGAAGAGAGCTAGGAAAGATTCACACATAAAAGAAAGCTTAGAGAAAGTTAGAGAGAGAGCTCTTGGAGAATGCTTGCTTGTATTACTTTGGAATGCTTTGGATACACTTGGATGGCTTGGGCAAATGAGGCCCTCCCCCTTTTATAGGCTACGATGAACATTCTAGAACTACAATGATGGAGAGTGTTCTAGACACTTCCTCTTACTACATCTAATAGACTATTCTAGAATATACAAGCATTATGTACAAGCTTCTAGACTTATGTACAATTATCTACAAAGCTCTAGGGAGTTCTAGAATCTTTCAGCAATCTCCAGAACCTCCCAGGGCTTTCTAGTGAGGGACAACTTCAAAATTTGTCAGTCTGTGACACAAGAAACTTCATTTACATATACAAAGAAAGAATATGTTCCAAGTTGTGACTTGTGTTGATTCTGGTTGTCTGCACTTGAAGCAAATTTGCTTGCGTTCTAATTATAAGGGTAATTTTAGATATTGAAAGAAATGTCACAATTTTTGGTCAAAATCATTTGAATAAATAGTGGCTGCAACAGGTGTTCTTTAAGCTAACCTCAAAATCAACATTATTACCATAGGAAGGTTGACAAAAAGTAAATAAACTTAATGGGCACTAGCTTCCCTTTGGTCTAATACTGGAGGGTGCTGTTGGGCCTGTAGAGACCAACTACGGGTCCGTTTCGATAATCTAAACAGTTCAATGTGTAAAATTCGTCGAATATTATTTGCCTGTAAAAAATCACGTTGATCGGATATCGATAGCTACGTGGTCAAATCAATTTTATATAAAAAAAGGGGTAAATTACATTTACCTCCCCTAAGGTTTCTGACAAATATAGGGACTTCCCCTGTGATTTGAATAATTATAATAATCTCCCCTATTTTACCTAACAATGTCAAGATTCTCTCAAAATTTGACTGCCGTTTATACACCTAACCGACCCTGCTGATGTCATCAAATGTAAACACTAAAATAATACCGCTCAATCTGCTAAAACCGCACCGATCCGCATATATCCGCACCGCTCTAACTACTAACCGCGGTTTAAACTTTAAAATTTATAATCCGCCAACCAAACCGTTCCGCTCCGCTATAGTTAATACATATATATTTTTTAACCTCCAATGAAATATTAATGTAAAAATGAGTATGAGAGAGATTTAAGATATGGAATTTATTACAAATTAGTGGCTATATATATGAAACATATTATGTAAAATTACTTTAAGTTATATATCTAAAAAGTATCATACAAATTAGTGTTATATATTATACAAATGTATGAAAATTAGTTAGAATATTCTTCAATCCGCCAATCCGTCAAAAACCGCCCAAACCGTAATTTGTCAATCCGCTAATCTGCCAACCCGCCATTCGATTTGGAAATTTACTCTCAAACTGCCCGAATCGCATCGTGCACACCCTTTTAAATACCTATAATGCCTATAATGTAAACACTAAATTTTATTTTTTTATTTTAAATATATAATTTCTATTTAAATATTTTATTTTATTTTGTAAATATTTTAATATTTTAATTTTAATATTTTAAACTCAAAATACAATTTCACACTCAAATCGTAATCAAACACATAACTTAAAACTCAATTCAAAAACTATTTTTAAAACTCATAACCAAACACATAACTCAAAACTCCACATTATTTTTAAAACTATACAATACTAGCAAAAAAATGCTAAATTGAAGGCGGAGTAGTTGATGTCAATCATCCATTTTCCATTATCCTCCAATGTAAACTCTCTCTCTCTCTCTCTCTCTCTACTCCTTCCCACCATCACCACCACCTCTACTGGATCTGGTGTTTCTCTCTTCTCTCTCACACACAACCTTCACCACACCCCTGTTTTTGTTTATCATCTATCTCCCTGCATCATCTGTTTACAATTTCCTGATTACTTAGAAATGTTGTTTGCAATTAATCCTTTGTAATTTGTAGCTGCCAATTGCTCCGATCTGTATGTGTTTTTTTTTTTTCTTTTCTTTTCTTTTTCTTTCTTTCTAATAGCTAGAAAAATATTATGCTGAGATGTTTCTGAGTTTTTGATCTGAGATTCAGGCACCCTTTTTTAATTTAATTTAATTAATTTTTTTTTTTTTGGGTATTTGCTACTACAGTGTAATTGATGAAGAAACACTGGATGAGAGAGGGGCTCTGAATATATACAATACAAGTATATAGAGGGAAAGGGTTTATGGTTTCATGGGCAACACATGCCGTGGATCTTTTGGAGTGAAAACTTTTCAGGGCTACAGATACAGTCAGCCCCTAGACCAGTCCCTTTCCAAGCAGCACACCACCTGGAAAACACCTGCTGGAGAATGCCATTCCGCTTGCACTTGCGGAATAAGGTTAGGGCTCATTCCAAGGTTTTGGAGATATTGGCGGCTATGCAACGGATGGGGCGCTTGTAGAGAAATAACTGGGCCATGGTCGTGGTCGTGGTCATAAGACAAATGGCGGATCAGAGCTTGAGAGAGAGGAAGTTGGCTTGCTTAGCGAGATCGACACATTCGGGCTTGAAGGATTCGGCTTCTTTGGCATATTTGATGAGGAGTGAAAGCTCTTATTAGATTGGTTTCTCTTCTAAAGGCGTTTTCTTCTTTTTGTAGGCAAAAGCAAAGGGTAATATAGTCATTTTGTATATGCTACTAACATCGTTTGTGCAAAATAGACAGAATGGGAGAATCTTGACATTGTCAGGTAAAGTATGAGAGGTTACTGTAATTATTCAAACCACAGGAGAGGTCCCTGTATTTGTTAGAAATCTCAGGGGAGGTATATGTAATTTATCCTAAAAAAATAGACAGTGAAAAAATAAACAGTTGATAGAAAACTGATCTGATGAGATAGCTATCGATATCCCATCAACATGATTTTTTTCAGGCATATAGTACTCGCCGAGTTCTACACATTGAATAGTTTGGATTATCGAAATAGGACCCGTGATAGACTCCCACGGGCCCAATAGCACCCTCCAATCTGATCTGGGACGGGAGGGAAGCTAGGCCCAACTTAATAAACAAGGATACAATATAGAAAATTGAAATATGGATTGCTTGCATGTCATCTTTATAGTGCCTCACAACAAAACAAGTGGGTGAATATAGTGAGATACAAACTAGCATAAACAAATTGCGAGGCTGATGCTTCTTTATTCCATCGTAAAAGACGAAAGCTTCTCTCCAATTTATATTGGGCCAGACTGTGCAGTTACATTTATTGGCCTATTTTGATAATCCAAACCATTTATCATGTAGGACGCATGAGAATATCATTCATGCAAATAATCACATTGATCAAACATTGATATCCATATGATCAGATCACATCAACTCCTTCCCCTGAGAAGTGAACTCTGCAAAAGCCGTACTCCTGCTCAAGATAAGAGTTTTAAACAACCCCTTGAATGTCCGCATTGCTGCTACCATCCTATTGATGTTCCCAAAATACTTGGCATGTATGAAAAGCCAGAATACTCACGTTGACTATGAGCTACCATGTCAAGTTCAAACTGAAGGTGAAGTGAGACAAAGGGTTTGGATATGGCTTCGAGAAGTTCAAAGCCTTTCTTCTCCAAGGCCCTGGTGAGGCATAAATGCATTGTGACGATATTGACAAAGCGTGACTGTTGCATACAGAGGATACCTACAAGATTTACAACAGAAACACGCATTAAAAATACCTCGGACAACAGAATCAGCAAACCCCCAGTTGCTTTCTGCTTTTCTGATGAGCGAAGAACACAACTATTCCGTTTTTCTGCTGCAGATAGTAGAAATAGGTTGTGCCTAACTCAAACTAACTCAAATGTCACGACGGATCCACAAAGATTTCCAATCCTAACTACTTCATTAGAGGAATGAAACCTGGATCACTTTTGCTGAGTAACTCATGATTCCTTGACATCATATTTCCAGAGTTACCCTAAAATTCTCAAGTTTACTGAAAATTCCCGAACACCCTCATTTTCTTCAGATATATTCAATCTTTATTGATATTCTCCAGAAAATTCCTGAAATGAAGATGATTTATAGGTGAACTATTACCTAAAAAATGACACTCAAGTATGAACCATGATCAAAACAATGAGAGCCCAAAAAAGAAACAAAAACACAAGAACAAAGAAATTACATAGAAAAATCCATTAACCAGTTAAGATGTCCTTCAAGCCACCATCTACAAGGTTTCCAATCTAGAATCCTTCCAACACTATAAATCCGTTTTCTCGCATGCAATTACTCATCACTCTCATCTAAGCTTTCCACTTCACTTATTAATCTCACATCAGCTCTATCACCTCTGATAATGTCAGACAGCTCTTGTATTGAACAAGAAGTGCTTCTTTCCATCTTATTCAGATGAGAAAACTACCATCTGAACAAGCTCTCTTCGAACTACAATTACTTAGTTCTTCACCCAATCACTCTCATCAGAACTTTCTTCTTCTCTTCTTGATCTTGCACTAGGCCTATCACCTCTCATAATGTTAGACAACTCTTGTATTGAACAAGAAGTGCTCCTCTCCATCTTACCTGAAAGTATCAGTGTCTGCTCTGAGAACCCTAAGCCTATCAGTCGGTTCCTCAACAATTCACAGGTAGAAGAATATGGTGGTATCCCTTCATCAATCATCATTTCAAAGTATCTACATGCATCCTCTAGTTTTCCTTTCTTCCTACAAAGGCCATGGACCATCACAGCATATGTTGAGGCTGAAGGATAAAATCCCCTCTTTTCCATGCTCTCCCAAACTACATTAACTCTATCAAACCTCCCTACCCTAATTATCATTTTGAAAGCCATGTTATATGTATGCCGATCCGGCAAACATGAATCTTGGTCCATTCTTGAAATCAGCCTAAGAGCCTTGTTTACTTCATTATGATCACAATGGAAAGCTAGGATTGCATTGTAACTCCATACATCCGGTCTCGCCCCTCTCTCTATCATCTCATCTAAGAGTAGGTAAGCCTCTTCCACCTTATCATTCTTACAAAGTCTCTTGATAATACAATTGTAAGTATATACATTTGGCACAAGTTCATATCTTCTCATTCTATCAAGAACCCGAAAAGCCGAATGAATATCATTTGCATCACAAGAAGCATGGATGAAGATTGAATAAGTATAAGCATCTGGTTCAAGTCCCTTAGACCTCATCTCCCGGAATAGCCTATAGGCTTCATCCACATTCCCTCCTTTGCACAAAGACTGTAACATGCTATTATAAGCAAGCAAGTCAACACAACATCCTCGTTCAAGCATTTCATCGAACAGTTTACGTGCCTCATCAGATTCACCAATGTCGCCCCACCCTTTCATCATAATGCTATAAGTTTTTGCACTAGGCACCACCTCAAACTTAACTCTGTCAAAGAACTCTTGGGCATGCTTCACATGCTTCCTTTTGCAAAGAACATACAATAGCTGATCAAAGTCATCATTACCAGGTTGAATTCCAAAATCAACCATTTTATTAAAAGCCCGAATCGCATCGGCTGGTAAATTAGCTCTACTATATGCCCTGAAAATAACCCAGAAAATTTCCGGGCTAATTTCAAAACACTGACTCTCTTTCAACTCGGCAAGAAAATCCCAAATCAATGGGAATTGTCTGCTACTTCCTAAGATATCAACAAGAATATGATAGCTCTCTTTTCGGGGCTCGAAACCCGGTAATTGGCGAGCCCAAAGGAAGAACCTGTGGGCGGAGAAGCCAAGGTTTTTGCACCTTTTCAGGACTTGCTCGACCAAATTGGTGGATATTTGGGGAGAGAAGGAGTTGAGGGCGGACTCGAGGTCGTGGTGTGGGTTTCGGAAGTCGCTGAGAATGCGAGAGAGCTCGTTGACGAGTAGTTCTGGTGAAGGATGTGAATCTGGGTGTAGTGATTGAGCAGAGAGGGATTGAGATGAGAAGGGTCTGCAATGGTGGGAGTGGTGGTGGGTTGTGAAGAGATGAGAAGAGAATGGAGGAGAGAGAAAATGGGATTTGGGTTTGTGGGGTTGAGAGAGAAGAGAGTGGAAGAGGAGGTGAATGCTCTTCCTAGTGATAGAAGAGAACGATCTGACCACCATTTTCTACTCTTTCTTCTTCTTTACTCCAAATTCAAACAAGAAACCTATTTATAGTTTCGATTCCGACACACTGTCAGGCAATTGATGTGAGGCCCCCTTTATTTATTATTTATTTTTTTAGTTTGGTTGTTGTTGTTTAAAAAATTAAAAAAAAAAAAAAATCTGAGAATTTGAGCTTTGTTAGGCCGAGTTTGAAATTAAGGGTTGGTTTGGGGTGTACTAAAAAAGTATATTTTTTGTCTTTTTACGAAAAGATGTGCAGAAAAGTAGAGAGGTGATGTGATGGAAAAAAGATAAAAAGATAAAAAGATGGATTATATAGTAGATGACAAACAAGGCTTAAATTATTTTAATAATTTTTTAATTTTTTTTTTATAAAAAGATAGAGTAAAGTGATGAGATAATAATAATTTTTTGACTTTTTAACTAAATTACTTAATACTCAAACGATGCTTTAGTAACAAATAAATCATTAATTTTAAATTTTATCAATTTAAATCTTAATAATTTGATTGGTTTTATTGTAAATTATTCATCTATTTTTGTTAACTAAAACTCACTCAAAAAATATATTTTAATCATTATATTAAATGTAGGTAAATGAAAATCTTCTAAGATACTATTTTTTATTGAATTTATTAACATTTTTATTTTTTCTTGGATATTTTACCTAACAAATATAAATAAATAATTTAAATTAAAAATAAATTAAAATTTAAGATTTAAAACTCAAACCTTGATTTTTTTTTTTTTTTTTTTGTTTTTCTTACTTCTTTTCCTTTTAAAGCCTCCACCACCACATTTTTTTTTTGGGGGATCATTTTCTTAAATGTTTTAAAAAGACTCCACCACCACATGACTTTTGACAATTTTAGTATATGTGGAGGAATATTTTGTGAATGACAACACGTGGTTGAGGTGATGCTAACGTATCAGTTGGAGTGTCACGTGGCTTGGTTATGTGCCGAGATGATTTCGGTTAGGCCGAGGTTATCGACGGAGATTTCAGAATCCGAGATGAGCGGATAAGGGACAAGAGTTCCAGAACAGGGGAAGATCTCAGTCTAGATAAGAATAAAGCTCTTAGGGAGTTTATCCCTATCTAACTGAGGGTCTAGGATAGGCATTGAGCTTGAGTCCATTGAAGCTAGACTTCTACAGGGATCAAGTTAGTGTTGGCTACAAAAGTAAGGCACCCTCGTGGGTCTAAAGTATGTTTTTTATGCTCTGTCTAGTGAGTTAAGCTCTATTGGCTATCTTTGAGAGATAATTACTAACTTGATCGTCGGAGTGCCCCCCAGTGGACAAACTACCGTCGGATTCTTATCTTTCTGTGACAGGTTATTTGGATTTAATCTATTCTGCTGGTGCTCTTCTGTTGAGTTTCCCTGTTTGGTTGTGTGGTAAAAAATCAACACTCACAATTTGGCGTCATATGTGAGAACGTAAGAAGAATAGATGGTCAACAACGGGAAAAAGAAGAAGATTGGGGACGACATCTCTAGTGGGAGTGGTAAGCACGTCGATCCTAACGTGGAGGAAAAAAACTGTAATGAAGAACCTCGGGATCAGAATCTCGGGGGAGAAGGACATCGGCCAGGAGGGTGACGCAAAGAAGAAATCAGGCCGAGACGAATATTACAACAAAAGCAACCTCTAGGTGTGGAAAGACAGATGTGTGAGGAGGGACGGCGAGATGAAAGGAATGGCGAACAAGTTGGCAGACCTACAACCGGTCGTCAACTTCATGATGCAGAACAATGTCATGCAGCCACCGTTTCCGTTAAACGACACGCCGATGCCAGCGGCCAAGAACAACGCCCAGAGAAGGGGGCAAAAAGCAATCTCGACAGTCCCTCAACACAACAAGGAGAAGGAGCATTCACATCGGCGTTCACGGGACGCCGGGCAGGCAGAGTCTATAAGAGGAGAGTCTCAGAAGACGCCTCATACCAAAGGGACTTATGTCAGAGAACATTGACATGTTCAAGGAAAGGAACTTTTTTTCGACATAGTGAACGGAGAAAAGTCTAAGAGGACACACAACGACATTGGGAGCAGTGCACCAAAAAGGCCGAAGTCTGTTGACAACCGAGCTCCTGGTCGGACTAAGGAGGACTTGAGGGACGACCTCAAGCCGAAAACGCCCTTCTCTGTGGAGTTGGACAAGTTTGAAGCCCCAAAGAGGTTCCATACGCCAAGGCTCCATATATATGACAATAAGTTCGATCCAAACTTTCACGTCGACTTGTACCTGAATTCTATGGCGTTGTATACCGGGAACGAACGTTTGCCGTGCAACGTATTCCCCTTATACTTTGGAGAAATCGCATCAGACTAGTTTCACAAGTTGCCGAAACGAATTGTGAAAAGCTGTGAAGGCATGGCCGAGATGTTTGTGGCTAGGTTTGTAACAAACAAGTTATAGCCATTAAGGGTAGACTCCTTGATGACTTTGAAGATTGGCGAGGGTGAAAGCCTTAGGGTTTATGCCAAGAGATATTACGAGGTGTTTAACTGAATATCGAGATGCAACCAGGAGTTGGTGGTCGTGTATTTTAAGAATCGCCTGGAGGATGATTGCATGCTACGGAAGTCATTGGCAAAGAATCTACCAAAGAGTATGGAGGAGCTCATGGCGAGGATCGAGAAATATACCAGAGCAGAAGAAGATACGCTGGGGACCAAGATGCCGAAACAAGAGAAGAAAAACGGCTCGCCAAAGTGAGGCCGAGGTAATACTGGATTTAATAGACAAGAAACAGGGCTAAGAGCTGCACAGGCAGTCTCCACTGTGTTCTAGATCCCGGTTTACAAAGTCCTGGAAAGGATTAAGAACCAACCGTATTACAGAGCACCAGAAGGTTCTTGGCGAATTTATGGGAAGAAGCCTTGGGAAGCACTGTGCCTACCACAATGAAGATGCACTTGACTCAAGGGTGCAAAGCACTGAAGATGCACTTGGAAGACTTGGACAGACAGGGTCACTTGAGAGACTTGGTAGATGAGGCCAGAATGAGGGAAAAGCAGGCAAGGCTGCCCTAGGCACCGGCGGTACCACCTCCACTGCCACCACAACAGCAAGCAGATGGACCTCAAGTGATCAATATGATTCACTCGAGGGTCAATGAGAATGAGATACGAGGGGAGACTCAGAGGGTAAGACACTTACAACATGTGTGTCAAGTCTAGTAGAAAAGGCCTAGGACAAACGAGTGTCAGGGACCAATGGTGTCCTTTACAGAGGTAGACCAAGACATGGTGCAGCATTCACATAACGATGCTCTGGTAGTGTGATAACCCTGGTCCGTTGTAGACGCGCCCGTGAGGGCCTCATGCTACAGTTCGGACTTGATTTGTGTCACGGTCCTGTATTCAATCTCGCGGAGTGCAATGCAAGACCGATATATCATCAAAGAGTCCAAATCCGGCAAATCGTTTTTGAAAACAGATTTTTTTGAAAGAAGTGCCAAACATGGACTGCTTTGCCAGATACAGAGTCACCACCTAAATATTTTATTTTTGAAAATTTAGGAAACCCTGACTCGTTGCCTAAGGCCACGTGTCCGTCATCACCAAAGTTGCCTCGGCTCGGGAACTTGGGTACGATTGGGGAAGGTCACTTCGTGAGCACCCCGCTCGCCCGATCAAAAAACGGCCTCTACTAACCATGATATCAAATTTTGAAAACATTGTGTGTTCTTATTCCGGTTATTAACGTGCACGCTTTGATGTAGCTTTCCATTTACTGTTGATATTAATGTGATTTATAGCAATTATGTTCTATGCATATTGATGGTTTACTATATTAATTTAATTGAATCTAGTGTCTGAACTACTAATGGATGCAAATATAGTAGGTGGTTGAATCTTGATTGTTCCCTTAGCTATTAATATGAGATTTTGAGTGGTTAAAAAATACAAGCATTTTGATGTGTTCATGGCATCATAGAATTTAGAATTCGAGGTGTTGACGCCCCAAAATCACCAAACGGCGTCGGATTAGCACGAAACTTGACATACATGACCGCCTAGGTATGAGAGACTTGTGGGAGAAGACGAGGCTCGAATCAGGTTCCCGGTTTGGGAGTTAGAGCCGGATTTCACTCTTAAGAAACAAACTAGTTTCTTAAAAAATTTAGAATTTGAGGTGTTAATGCCCCTAAATCGTCAAACGGCGTCAAAGTAGCACAAAACTTGGCACACACGACCGCCTAGGCACGAGAGATTTGATGGCATATGATGATGCTACAGCTAACACGTATTCAATTTGGAATTGAAATACAAATGCAGTTAGTATGATGCGCCGAGCTCGGTGCATGCAATACAGATGAATGATGCAAACATGCAAGCATAAGTATGCTGAAAGAAACATGCCCTAATCTAACCATCATAAGCTGGTAAATAAAAGGGAGAAAGACGTGGGGTCGGAAGACATACATTACACGCACGCACACTTATTACAGTTGTGCCCTCGCTCGGAGGGTCCGAATAAATAATATACAGTCCCAAATGAATAATACAATCCGAATAAGTACAAAACTCTAATTAATTAACAAATTAATCTAGGAAAGCAGTAAATTGCACACAAATCTGTGGACCACCTCAGCTCTGTTCCGAATGATGGATGATGCATGCTTGAGTTTGCCTTGAGCGGAAATCCATTGCGATGCCCCGGATTGCCTTTGTTTGTAATTGTTCTCGGGATTTGTGCCAAGCTTCAGAAGGTTACCGATTTTTGATTTGCTGCAACAGAGAGCAACAAGGGGGCATGGTAAAGTATTTTCACATGTGTATGCATGACTACCCTTCAGGGAGTGTAGTCTTCGATCCTCGTGCCACCAATCACGCATCTCGATGCATGGTGGCCGAGGAGTTGAATTGCACGACTCAATGTGAAATGAATGCACATGAACACACAACAAGACCTAAACTCCATCATGGGTAATCCGGAGTGTCGGCGACCGGGAATTGAGACACGTTCCGTCACTCAGAGTACGAAACGTCCCTCGTTTCCCGTGCTTGGGCTAACTCCTATCCCAAACACAATGCAATATGCATGACATGCATGA